ACTTTGGGGCTGCGGCCTTCTGGGATAGGCTCGTTACAGAGCTTGTACTAAGACCGCTTGAGCTTTGCTCACTCTGTGTTCGAGCCAATGCCGCACCGTCAACACCTCCACCATTGATAAAGACAGGCTCGAGACGATCAAGCAAGAAATCATCGAGTTCCATGTCTGGACGACTGTTCATGCTTCCTTTACTAGAAACAGATCTAGATGCACTTCTCGCCGTGCTGGTAGATCTTGCCCTAGACCCGCTACTGGTGGCGCTTGCCCTTCGACCGCGTTGTGCGTATTTGCCGTATCCTTCGTGCCCCGTTCCCGCAGACGGACCTTTGCGAGTCGCACGACCTCCTTCAGACGATTGTGCTTCCAATTCAGGCTTGGACCTTTTCGTGAACAGCCCAAATCTTCGAATCTTGGATGGGCTTGTCGGGGTCTGAGGCACCTGCCGCGCCTTTGTTTCTCTTTTTGAGGCCCGGGGGCTTTTTCTTGAAAGCTCAGGTGACAGACGAGAAGGCAGTTGAGAAGAACTTCCCGACTGTAGTGATTCTACTGAAGTTGACGCCGATTTAACGGAGCCTAATGCAAGCCTCTCAGAAGTGAATGAGCTTTCCTTTGACGGACGTCTGTTGTGGCTTGTCACTATATCAGGTGACAGGTTACTTCGGACCACGGGTGATGGCTCCATCTGCAACCTATCTGTTCCCTCTCTACTCGGCCGTGCTGGTATGTACGTGGCATTACTTTCAGTGCTCTCAGGTGATCGAATAGCTTGGGAGTTCTCTTGGCTTAAGGAGCCTGACTCTGTATCAGCCTTCTCCTGTGTCTTTCTCGGGAGACAAGATTTGGCGACTGCTTTTCGGGAGTAAGGGTTGCCAGAAACAGTGGAAGTATCGACTATCAATCCTTTCGCTGCAAAATCCTGACTTCGTCTTTTACAAGAAGAGGTTGCGCTCGGCTCTGGGACGGAACCAGGGGACTTGTTAGCTCTCGGATGGACTGAATGATCTTGTGATGTTTGTTGCACCCCCCGCGACGAGACAGGAAGTCTGGTTTGGGATGGGCTTGGTTGTCTGATACGGGGTACGGCCTTAACTGGCTGTACAATTCCTGGGGAATAGGAGGACAAGGATGTGGGTGTTGATGTCCTACTCCACATGCCTGGGGAGCCAGAGTATCTTGTTGACGGACTACTGGCCGAGGCAAATATAGGAGTTGGAGGAGGTAGGTTTTGCGTATTGAGAGTAGTTCGTAGACTTGCAAGCTCCTTTGGTCCATTGTGAACCTGCTGTTCGGGAGGTCTTCCCACGGTTGTATCCTGAGGTGTGTATGATGAAACTGTTTCCTCTATCGACCCGGTTTGACTCTTTCGGGGTGGTGAACTTCCACCCATGACTTGGCCCGGATGAATAGTATCTGGGATCATAACATTTAGTTTTTCTGTCTTTATGCCCTCGGTAGTTGACTTGTTATTCCCAGTGTGTTGTCCAATAGTCGGTGCCTTCCTCCGAAGAACATTCCGTGGTTTACCACGGATAGGCTGTTGAGCCAGTGAGTTGGCAGGCGTCTCAGTGTTCACCCGTGGCGGTGGTCCTCTCTCGGTATTTAACACACTTGGAGTAGAATGAGCTACTGAAGGCAAAGGATGCGTAGCTGCTCGCGGAGGCAACAACGAACGGGCATTGTGCGTAGATAGTATTCCAGAGGGCCTCGATGGTGCTACAGGATGACGTGAATCAGCGTCGGAAAAAGATGATCCCTTGTTGGGCCCGGTCTTAATGTTTGTGGGCCTTGCAATGCGCAGCGCTGATGATATAGAAATTGAGGAACTAGAGACTCTCGTCGATGCATTGATAACAGGCAAGGGTGCGTTTCGCGACTGGGAGGCAAGGTCCTTTAACCGCGGTATTCGGCCACTCTCAGACTTGTGCGACGCCATGGTGCTACCTGAGTCAAATTTCCAGCTCCAGTCCGAAGACTAATAATCCAACCGTTGGTGAAATACAGTGTGGCCATGGAATCATCCCGGCTAAATAATGATCACTGCTTCTAATATAACCACTAACGATGTAAGCATTACACCTAAGTGCGGTATGAGAGCCGAGATTTACCTACCTTCAAATCATATCACCGAGATTAGAAAAAATTGGCCAGCAATCATTAAACCCATATCAGCATTTCTGAAGGCGTCATATAGTAAAAAGAGGGAAAAATAGATATTAATTGGGTTGGGGGGATTCTATTGGTGGGACAGAATAAGCACCAAAGGAAGAGCAAGCAAAGCAGAGAGAAGATAGTTTTGCCAAAAGAAACTCGATGACCTCTTTCCTATACGAGGGGAGATTGTGATGTAATAATATCCAGGATAGCGAAGTACTTAAAAGCGGTGAATTTCTTTCTTTTTTTTTGATTTTTTAAAGAATGACTGGACAACTTGCATGTACTCCGCCACAGCCCACTGTGGCTAACATGCAATGCAAAGTTGTTGACTGTTGGGAGCTGTGTCTGCACGACCACGTCAGAGAAATTTTCAAAAACGACAAATAGAAGATAGTAGTAATTTAGCAACGTTGACACAGAGACCAGCTGTGCAAGAAGTAAAAGAAAGGAAATGGTAGGAAATAATTTTAACGAGCCGAATTTGGACCATGGAGCGAGAAAACTTGGGGCAATCTGGACTTTTCAAGTTCAAGGATGTGCCCAGCGCTAATTTGGACCATACCAAGACAGACCGGCGCAGCGGGGAGACATGGTTTCTATTCGCAGACTAAGTGCCCATATAGAGACCGCAGAGAGAAATCCTGGATGGTTCTGTGCGATCGACATCGGACCCGTTGTCGAGCACAGATGTGACTGGGGAGACTATTGGTGCGAGGACAGGTAACTTTGTTTCTGTTAGCGATTGTATTAAGCCTTGGATAATTTAGAATCGCCAAGAATCGACGAGAAAGGTAAAGATAGTGCAGATTCCCTCTAAAAACACGACCCCCGACCGAGAGTGGATCTCTGTCATCCATAAAAGGAACGTGCACAGCAGTACGCAGAGAACTGAGGTCAAGGACAGGTCCACTACATGGACCCAGTCAGTTTGCTCTGACTAGTAACATAATAGCCTCAGCGGATTGGATACACTGGAACATGGCAGTTGACAGGTTGGAATGGGGTTGAGTGGCGTGAGATAGCGGAAAAGTCCGTCGTATGCGCAATCGGCACTTTCACCAAAAGCCCCTCGTCAAGCACACGCCCAGATGGCAGATGCAGGCATCAGAAAATCTGTTGGTAATGCGGTGCTGCAGTAGTCCAGGGCTCTATTTGGTCTGTGTGTCGGTATGCAAGCTGTGATAGGATGGAATTCGGACAATTTCTTGCGAGGAATTTCTTTTCTTAGTAATGAATAGTTCCCAAGTCAGGTGGTGATCAGTGACTCGCGATCGTCCCCCCCGGCGAGGCCGAACACCACTAATTGATCATGATGCATGTACGACGCTCATTTTTGCCTTGTTCAACATGACAATTTACAATTCCTAGACGAGCCGTTTCGTACTTTAACAAGATGACCCTCTTGCCCACCGTCTTTTCTCTATATAATCTTATCCAGGATGCATTCTGAAAATCAACCATACCTGAGTGCCAGAATGCTCCATGCCTGCCACATCAGAAAGGCTTTTGCTCTCCCGTCACCAAACCGTAGATTCTACACTTCTGGTACGCCGAAAGGTTCGGGGCGAACCTTTGAACACACAACAAATTCTCCATGGTATCAGTGGGATGGCAGATAAGTTCACGGCCGAAACGGGCCAAATCGATGGGTCCGAAAGAACCTCATAATATAACAAACAAGAGCCACTCATAGACATGAAAGGGCATCCCGGACAAAGAAGCTGAGACCCCGGGGTCAATTAGGCCGGGCCCCAAATGCAAAATGGCACCGTCCAGTCTGTATCCTTTGTGTGTGGGGACGCTGAGCCGTGGGTCCTGATCCGCCGCTAAATGGAGAACCAGCCATGGGCGATCCTGATTGACGGAAGACGGCCTGACGGGCACGCGCGAGGCGACATGGATTCAATCCGCCAGACTTAGCACCAGTGGGCAAAAGGCAACTGCGGTGAGGGATTCGCCAGACCAAAGCAGAGGCCTCCGTGATACTTCCGGCCCCTGTGGAGACGGCGGTAAATTCGAACATGCTTTAACGGGTGTGAAAACACGGTCGCTGTGCCGCAGCAAGTACGGGGGTCTAGACAAATGTTCCAAGTACCAATCACGGATCGGCGCAAAAAACTCGAGATGTTGGCCCAGCCTGTGTGATCGGACTGGTTGAGAGAGGAAATTCGATGTGAGCACCTAGACAGACTAAAGAGAGTAGTTGAAGTAAAGACCAAGCCCGTACTTCTGTCCTTCTGCAATAGCGATCATTCTGCGCACTTAGCCAGTTGTCGATCAGATCCGATCAGGAAATTAGTCGACATACTATTCCGAGCGAAGTGGGCGCTGGTTTGCTGCAGGAACAGAATCCGGTCCTGCACTTTTCAGCTGACTCGTGTATTTCGCCACTTCCACGAGTCTGACACCAACATGATAACGTAGGACAGCATATGGCATGCTACGGAAGAAAGGGGAAGTATCAAAAAAGAAAATATACTATGTCTGTGACGCTGATCGGTCGAAGCTCCCAGTTCAGTTACGGTGTCTCCATCCTTCCTGTTGATCCTTTTACCTATTACGGGTTGTAAACCAGGCTCACCATATTTCTCTAATAGCGCGCTCACTTGTATGTACGTACTCTGTAAGTAGTACGAGTGTCTCGTATTGCTTTTGACTATTGAGGTTGACCCGATATTGCTGGGCGCTTTCTAAAACAAGAAAAGAAAAAAAAGAAAAAAGGGAGAGACGTGCCGTGTAATATGGTAAATGCATAGACTAAGATTCCACAGTAATGATTCCCTCAAAACGCCTATGAGATTGCACCAGATTTAGAAAAACAAAGTGGTAATAAAACATGGAATTAATCACGCAGCGGTTCCAAATCGCTTCTTCCTAGCCTCCAAAGCGAGCTTATCCTTTTCACTCAAGCTGCTGGCAGGTTTCTCAGTGCTGCGTTGGTTTTGACCTTGGTTACGATTACCCGGACCCCGTCGCCGGTTCTGATTTTGATTCTGATTCTGATTCCTGTTCCTTCCACCGAAATCCCGTCTTTTGCCTCCCCGCTTGCCTTGATCATTCTCGCCGCGACCCCTCTTGCGGGTCTTTTCGCTAGGAAGTGCCTGGTCCAATTTGCTAACTCCGGTTGTAGCCGGTTCCTCGGGAGCAGCACCAAATCGTTTGGCCCTCTCGAGCTTTCTCTCCGCTTCTTCAATAGCGGTCTTCGAATCTTCAGTAATACCAAACTTTTCGGCACGAGCCTTACGCTTCTTCAACTCCTCCTCCATATCAGTAACGGAAAGGCCAATGGAGTAGTCCGGCGCGGGCTTCTCCTCAGCCGGAGCTGCCTCAGTCGTCTCAGCCACTTCAGCAGGTGCTGCCTCGGTTCCCTCTTGTGCGGTGGGGGCAGCATCCCCGTTAGATTCTACCTTAAGATCGTCTGTAGTAGCGGGATTGATGTCTTGCTGCTGGTTCGGAACTGCAGTAGGGTTAGAGACAGCGGCCTGGCCGCCAGCAGCGATCGTAGCAGCACCAGCCTCGGTCGAGGGCTTCGTTGTGGCAGCATCTGCGGCAGGAACATCATCATCCTCCCAGTCAATCACATCCTCTGCGTTATCGGCTTTTGCGGCCGGCGCTGCAGTCTGAGCCTTGCTGTTATCATCCTCCTGCAGGCGGGCAACCATCTCTGCCTTCTTGCCAGTGTGAGGCAAGGAGCGAGACTTGAGGATCTCCACTAGCTCAGCATTGGTCTTCTTGCCGTAGTCGGTTGCCATTTTTGATGAAATGGATCGTCAATGGTCGATAGCGTTCGGAGATGAGCGGCGATTCGTTGAGCGCGATACTGGCGACGGAGGAGATGAGCGGATGGCGCGGGTCCAGCGCGTAGGATTGAAAAAATTTATATTAGTCGTCAGCAGTCATGCGACCATGCGACAAGTAATATCGTTGATTCGGATTGGTATTGGATACTTAATGGGTGGTGTAGCCAGATGGCAAGGTTGAACGGAGCTCTTGGTAGAAGCGTCGCGTTGACGCGGTAGCGGACACCTGACCTAGGTATCTGCGGCTGACTTCCCAATCGGGATATATAGTCACGTGAATTAAACCACTTGGCCTTGTGCCTATGAGAAAAGGACTTCCTGGTATCTCCTCAGACAGACACGGGATCTCGAAGCTGAACATTGGAATAGATCTACTGCCGTCACACAATATTACTGACTAAAGATGAATGGGCTACACAAGGATCGTTTAGATCCTGTTGACGGTGGAAGGTTTCGTAGTTTGTGAGTCATGTTCAAAGCTTCCAATAGCAGTTTGCCAACTGGGCAGTGGGAGAGCCTTTGGCGTAAAAGGGTCAGCTAGAAAGTTTTGAGCTCATCAGAACGTCTGATAGTTCCTAGCTGAAAGGCGGGAAGCTGGAAAGAAAGTGATGACATGGCAAGCGAGATGTGGCTGTGGCAACTCTCGATATTCGGCGCCACGGCGCCACCGATATCATCATCATGTGATCTATAGACTATGAGCATTGTGCGACAGTCCATGTTACCTATCCTTCTATGATTAAAATCTAATTCTTGTTAGCTAGCGCCGATTTTGGGGTGTGGTTTATTGTTCTAAAATGACTTGCTGAGCTATATAGTGTGCAATATTATCATGAGTAATATGGCTAACTACAAGAGCTGCTACGAATATACCTTCTGTCAGCATGTGCCTTCCTCTATTTCTTTCGTTTTTCTAATTTATTATACCGGCCTATATTCGTGAGTAAAGGTATCCAGTGACTCTAACCTGCTTAGACAACAAGGCTGATCTAAAGGCGCACCCAGTCATTTCTTAGAAAGTGGTACTACTGCGTCTGTCGGTATTTTCTACGCTTGGAAGTTCATCCGTAGATCATGGATTGATAACAAACGACAATAGTTAAGCAGCATTGCTATTTGTCAGCGGTTAACCCCCGAGTACATTTGCTGAGTTGACCGTTCTGAGAGCAAGCAGACCATGTCTATATCTTTCAAGTCATACATTAATCGAAGCCGGCTCGAAGTTCACGAGGGTTGTTTCTAATTGCTTCTCCATATACGGACCTGTACAAACAACATGACTATGGTTTCCGACCACATTTTACCGGTTTACAAGGATCAGTAGCAGGCAGTGCAAGATATATGTAGCGTTTGGAACATCACGGCAGATCATGTTTCACCTACGCTGATAAGGCTGGTAGCGCATTCTAACATTCCCTTTTGTACCCTAGACGTTCTAATAGTACTAGCACCTTGCATGATGTGGGTATATCTCCTGCAGCAAAAAGAAATTGGTAATCATAACAGATGAAATTTAAACCTCGAACATTTAGATACATACCAAATAACGATCACCCGCCCTGATCGGTAATAGCCTCCATAGTAACAGTTTCGATGTTGTAGTTCAGTTTAGCCGAGCTTTAACTCGGTAAGTCCCTGGAAGAGATCCCGAGCGAATGACCCACGTGCCGATTACCCGATCGATATTTGAATCTGACATTCAAAGCAAGCCTTTTCGCTCCACTTCCCCTTCGTTTGTCGTTTAGGCATATCAAGCGAGTCAAAGATGAACAGATTCGGCTCGAGACATGTGCCCCAGAGGTTCAAATTGAGAATTCTTCCTGGAGTCTATTTATCAGCCTTGAGTTTTAGTACCCTTGCCTCGCAAGTCAAGTAAACCCTTACAGAAATGATCAGACACAAGGGAATCCCTACGGCCCTCGAGTCGTACGTACGTTGGAATGTGGGGCATCACGCAAAGATCGTTTCGGATCACCTGTGGAATTTTTCTTCTTGTCATGTTGCATTGCATTGATAATACACCACTAATAAGAATACTTGAAACCCAACCCCCCCCCCCTGTGGAAATGTGGACGAGCACTCACTTCTCATCAAAGAAACATCTACTTCTGCCTACAATTCGTTATCAATGTAGAAATCTCTTTCGACATTCTCTAGCTTTGCTTGTTTTTCTCTTCACCTTATCTATCTTGATACCCCTGCCAGTCGCATGACTCTCGTTTAAGATACCCTCTTTGAATTAATTAATTGTGACATATAAGCACAAAATGACAGTCTATGATATAGAAAACAATCCCAACGAAAAAGCTCTCCCGTCAGGGGTGTACCGAAGCAAGATCCCTTATTTCCGCATGCTCATTGATCAGGGCGCCGTCACCCAGAATGTCCTCCACTTTGACTACCCCGGCTCAGGAACGGAGGAGGATCCATATGTCGTGTCCTGGATCTCAAATGACTCCCGCAATCCCCAGCTCTTCAGTTTTGCCAGAAAATTGACCATTACTCTGGTCGTCGCGTTTTCAACAATGGTCGTCGCCTTGACATCGTCTACATACAGCGGCAGTGTTGGGAGTATAGTTACATCATTCGACGTCAGCACGGAGGTAGCGACCCTGGGACTGTCACTCTTTGTCCTAGGTTTTGCAGTGGGTCCCCTACTTTGGGCGCCCATTAGTGAAGTCTTCGGACGCCAGAGACCCTTCTTTGTCAGCTTCCTGGTCATGGCTGCATTTTCAGCTGGCTGTGCTGGCGCTCAGAATATCTGGTCACTACTGATCCTGCGCTTCTTCGCAGGTGCATTTGGATCTGCACCGTTGACCAATGCTGGAGGCACGATATCTGATATGTTTACAGCCCGCCAGCGCGGTCTAGCGCTCAGTTTGTACGCTGCAGCACCCTTCTTGGGGCCTGCCCTAGGTCCAATTATCGGCGGGTTCCTGAGCATGAACGCTGGCTGGAGATGGGTGGAAGGCCTTCTGGCCGCTTCTGGGGGACTTGTGTGGATCATGATGGCGTTCGCAGTTCCAGAGACATATGCGCCTCTTCTATTACGGCAACGTGCTGAGCGCCTGTCACAAGTCACAGGAAAAGTCTACCGTAGCAAAATTGAGCTCGAAAAAGGCAAAGTGGCGCTTAATACCTTGCTTAGAAGGTCCCTCTCTAGGCCATTGGTACTACTTTTCACAGAGCCCATTGTCCTCCTCTTTGCTGTCTATATCGCCATCATCTACGGTACATTATATATGTTCTTCGCCGGATTTCCCATTGTATATGAGCAGGGCCGAGGATGGAACCCCGGGGTTGGAGGCCTAGCCTTCCTTGGTATCATGATCGGCATGATAATAGGCATCATCTTCACTCTTCCCGCCAACATGCACTTCATAAAGATTCAGGACCGACTCGGCGGCTTTGCCCCCCCGGAAGCTCGACTTCTCCAGTGCATGGTCGGGGCTGTAGCTATCCCAATTAGCCAGTTCTGGTTCGCCTGGACGGACTATCCTTCCATTCATTGGATCGTCAGTATCATCGGTACGGCACCATTCGGCTTTGGCGTCATCCTCATCTATCTCGGTGTTATGAACTACCTAATTGACTCGTACACCATCTACGCAGCATCTGTGCTTGCTGCCAACACTATCCTCCGCTCCATATTCGGTGCCGTCTTTCCCCTTATTACGGGATACATCTATGATGGCGTCGGTATTCACTGGGGGCCATCTATTCCCGCATTCCTGTCGCTGCTGTGCACGCCCGCTCCTTTTTTGTTTTACCGTTATGGTGCTGATATCCGCAAGCGGTGCAGGTATTCCGCTGAATCATTCCACTACATGCAAAAGTTACAAGAGAATGCGACAAACAGTGCCAACACACAGACCAAGCAACCAGCCGTGCAGGCGAATGAGTATTCTTCAGAAACGAAATAGGCAGTTAATTTATCTTCCGACAAGAGCTGCCTCTTAACCCTATGTGAATATTGGTACAGGCGTATATAGAAGCTATTTGCACATACATGGGGGGTTATGGGTACTAGAGATAATGCTTTTAGACAAAAGTTTAGAGTATATTAGATCAGGCGAATATTTATTTTGACATACTTATTTTCTTTCTACTTTATATAGAGCGTTTTACAATGTTCCTCGCCACTGGACAAAGCATCGACGTAATGAACTAGTTATCAACAAGAACTAGATTATACAAGGTCCTAGTCTGCACGTCGCTGATAGGTACTTTCTTGGCTGGACAATTGAGGTTACCGTTGTGTAGTTCTAGGCACCATATAGGCCTATGATATAGTTCGGCCTTCGCGAGTTCTATTTAATCCGTGGCAGGATAATTACAAGTTTATATACTAGTATTATACTATCGTAGGTATTCCAATATAAATATAAAATCAATACAGACTGTTCAATGTCTTTATCTTTGTACGGTAGCTTTACAAGGCGCTTGATATATATTTTGCTAACACGTACAGAGCATCTGAGATCAGATGCAAGACAGCGATGCATACCACTTTCAATTAAGCAAACACCTTCCACTCCTCAGAATCAAGATACCTCACTACGTCTCCAACAGTTTACCTCCCCAGATGACTAACTCCGAGTCACATTGGTTCGCAGCGGATGCCCTCCGCATGTCGGACCGGATCCGCAAACACCCCACTAAACAACGCGGGGCAGATCCGAAGAGGAACAAGCCGAAGGAAAAGCCATGACTATATAACGCTCCATACACACCAACAACTATACACAACCTAATCCTCAACCCAATTGTACCAATTGTACACATAAAAAAAAATCAGCAACACAATGGACCCCCAGCAAGAAAAGAAACACATCACCGCCGGGGACGCAGAGTCATTCACCACAAAAGTCCTCACAGCAAACGGCGTGCCCCTCGAAAATGCCACAATAATCAGCAAATGCCTCGTGCAAGCCGACCTCCGGGGCGTAGACACGCACGGCATAAACCGGATCCCATCATACATGGAGCGGATCCGGCAGGGCGTGCTGGACGCTAAGGCCCACCCGTCCCTGAAGCAGATCACACCTGTCGTCGCACAAGTAGACGGACAGAATGGGTTTGGGTTCGTGGCCGCGCACATGGGGATGCGCGGGCGATTGAGATGGCGCGCGAGTACGGCATCGGGTTCGTGTCTGTCAAGCACTCGAATCATTTCGGCATGTCGGCGTGGATAGTGCAGCAGGCGTTGGATGCAGGGATGATGAGTCTTGTATTTACAAATTCATCGCCTGCGTTGCCGGTTTGGGGCGGCCGGGAGAAGTTGATGGGGGTTTCGCCTTTGGCGTGTGGGGCGCCGGCTGGGAAGGAGAAGCCGTTTATTTTGGACATGGCGCCTTCGATTGCGGCGCGCGGCAAGATTTACAAGGCTGCCCGACGTGGGGAGAAGATCCCCGCTGACTGGGCGTTGGATGGGGAGGGCAGGCAGACCGAGGATCCGAATCGGGCATTGGAGGGCGTTATGTTGCCTATGGGGGGTCCCAAGGGGTCAGCGTTGGCGGTCATGATGGATGTGTTTTCTGGGGTTTTGTCCGGGTCGCGTTTGCCGGGCATGTTACGGGCCCTTATGATCCGTCGAAGCCCGCGGATGTGGGCCATTTCTTGGTGGCTATTAAGCCAGATTTGTTTATGGGGTTGGATGACTTCAAGGAGCGTATGGATTATCTTTATCAGAGGGTGGTTGGATCTGAGAAGATGGCTGGTGTGGACCGGATTTACTATCCTGGGGAGATTGAACAGATTACGCGCGAGGAAAGAGTGAAGACGGGGATTCCTTTCGTTCAGGCTGAAATTGATGCTTTGAACAAGGAGGCGGACAAGGTTGGGTTGGAGCATCTTGTCGTATCATAGTTTGCTTGAGCTTATTTTGCAAGAGCTTTCATGTCTGTAGCATCATCACTGGTTATGTTTAGGATTTTTAATGAAGATATTTTACCCCTGGTCATTCGAAAACTACCGCGACAGTAGCATGATAACTAAGCAAGACAAACAAGGCAACGGACAGTAAACAAGGATAAACAAAGTACGGCACATAGGATAGCACGGCCAGGGGCCTTCGGGACATAGAATCGGAAGAGTAGGCGAAGGCAATTCGTCAACCGTAGAACCAATATTCCGCCGCATAGTCTACCTGGAATGTACCCTTACGCTTCTGGCAGTTGGCTGGAGGCTGTCCTCCCACTGTATGCAGGCGGTAAACTTCCTGAGAAACGGATCAGCATCAATCTACCAATGACAAAACATACCCAACTTACTTTGATACCATTTCCACTAACAGAAGTGAGCTTCAACCAAGGCACGTTTACAGTGCTACGGTCGGGTGCGTCACTACTCGCAGCCCTTTTGGATGCCACCCAGTCACTCCCACCAGCAAGTCGTAGATCGAAGGTTGGCTGGCCAGCAGCATTGAACTGATGTTTTCCCAAGATGAACTTTGTAGCTGACGAGGAGAGCTGACTGCCAAGCACGGCAAGGAAGGGAAGTGCCTCAGATTGTACTTCCTTCACGACAGGGGTGAAGTTATGAAGAAGTGTTGGATTGGACGCGGCGAGGCAGGAAACATCGACCAGCGTTGCAACGGCACTCACGGATTTGGGTACTGTAGTGCTGGAGTCATCCTGGCAAGTGTAGCTTTGTGTTCCTCGTCCTATCGTAACGTATTTGAGGCTGAGACCTGGGCTGGGCCCCGGGAGCGATCCATGAGATGGGAGGTTAGTTTTGGCGAGAGGGCAGTTGGAAAGGTGGACGTTGTTGAGGTATTGGGAGATCTGAGAGAACATAGTGGCGATGTAGGGGAGGGCAGGTGATGCTTCGGCGCGGAGTATGGCAAGATAGAAGAGCAGTACATTGATGAACAACATATTGAATGGAAGGTTGGTTAACGTGAAGCAAGAGAGAAATACCAGGCAGAATATTTGAGCCAAGCAAGACCGAGTAGGAAAGTTGCATGAAACTTGGATTGCAGGAGATATACACCTCTTATATAGAGTTCTTCTGCGTTTGGGTATTCACTCTGGCCTGGCACTTAACACATCCAACTCACTTAGACCTATCATTCCATAGGCCCTCTCAGATTCATTATCAGGTAATTTGTGAATGTGAAGTTCACAGTTTATGCCTTGGCGGTTCTTTTACTTGGATACTACTGTGGTGAGTAACTCTGCAAAAATGCTGCTCCACAGAGAAGCATTAATTCTGTAGCACCTGTTGGATATGTACACTGCCTCCATATATACACCCTCACTTGCGAATAGGTTACCAAGCCAAAAATCCTTCAAGGCTACCTGAAGATATCGCATCTGCTAAGCCGCTCGGCGAGAAGTTAGAAGAACAACGTTTCTGGCCCATTGTAGGTTGTTGTGCTCTGAATGTCTATCAGTTCCCCTATATCTCAAACGATTGAAGCTCTCAGTACTGTTTCGGGCATTTTTCTTTTTCTCTACTCTGTTACATTGTAAGTATGGAAGTTGTATAGAATTCAAAAACAATATACAGCCGTGCATGAGGCCTGGAGACGAATGTGCCTCACCATTCGGGTTGATAATAAACTTCTATGCACCGCAAAACCAACAGGGGGCGCAGTGAAGAGTTGGAATTGAGGCCGAGACGATACATATGCCGAAGACACATAACCAACCGCATACGTTTGTTAAGCGCCGTACATCGACACGTGTCATAGATTAAATTGATACAACTCCCCCATTTCGCTTGGTAGATTCAGTCAGAGATAAAGGAAACTTACTGTTACTGGGCGCTTAGTGGAAGTGAATTCCCGTATGACGTGTTTTTGGACATTCTCTGATATAGAACGGGATTCATCTCAATCAAGCAAGAAAGGAATTGAGCGACAAGTATGTAAAGAACGAATTAGGTAGAGTAGTATTCTTTAGCAGTAGGTCATGAGATAAATACAAGTCAGCAGACTAGGATAGCCATCGGGGTTTCATCGATGCACGGCACAACCCTATGAGCTTCTACTTCCGCTGACCTGCATAGCTAGATGTTACAATTTATATGTCTCATGACATCAATCAGAACTTGCATACCAGAAGGAGTAGTATGTTCGGTATGTCTCAGTGTATATATCCGCGATCTGCGTTTCTAGCACTCTGCCGTCTATAAGGGTATCAAATCTTTATTAGGCTAGTATCTAATTATAAGTCGAAAACATGTCATGCGAACGTGAAACGTGTTGGAAATAGCCAATATCATAAAATACCGCCCCTTCTGAGGGCTGCATTATCAGATATCAAGCCTGTCTGCTGCAGCACGGGGGCGTCGTTAAATCTCGTCATCCTTGGTCTCTTTAACCAGATGGCCACTACTGCCCTCATCGATTTCCGTATAACCGTGCATGGGCCGTGAGCGACGCTTAGACCCGAGCATAGAAGTTTGTCGGAGGTGGCCTCCTGGTAGTGGCTGCATCTCCAACTCCGGATCTCGTGAGATTGTTCCTCCGCGCCCTAGCGATGACTGCTGCCGAGTTGTTCCTTCGGTGGTCCTCGACCGAGATGCTTCCCGCTCTCCTCGGTAGAATCCGTATAAAACTGGTGCATTAGCCACGATTGCCGCTGCAAAGAGCTCAACAGATGCCCAGGTTGTGCGATTCACCTGCGCTGTTGAATGCCGGGCATTTTGAGGAAGACGGATGACGGTAATCACGACTATGAAAAAACCAACAGCGAAAAGGGCTGCAAGTTGCAGTTTCCTGATACATATAGTAGTCAGTAGGTGAATCTAACAGAAACCCGCTACCACAGCACGTAGTTCCTGATGCAATTAAATGACTCTCTTACTCCATTAAAGGCCGTTTGACCTTGACCAATAGTGGGACCGGTAAAACGATCAACATCAGATCTGTAACAATGTTCAGGACGCCTATCGTCACCCCATACGTTATTAGTCTCCCTCTCTATCGGAGAGAATTTCAGCCTGTATGTACCCACCTAGTACAACTAGCTGCAGCTGTGCTTGAGAGCAGAGTCCTGTCGGTCATGGTTAGGGAGCAATCTAGGATGTCCAAGGCAAGGGGCGCACGCACCAGGATCTGGAAGCACAATCCAATAATGGTCGAAAGGGTCACATTCCGTGAAGGTCACGATCTGAACTGTCACGTAGGTGGCGGCAAATATGAAGACATATGTGCCCAGAGTTATGCGTTCCCAGCTGAGGTTGCGGAGCAAATGACGGTACGTGTCAAGCAAGATGAACTTTTGAAGCCAGAGACTGAGATTGGATCGTCAGCTGCCGCGGTGTTTTTCAACGGACAAGCAACATGTGCGTACTATGTGTTGTAGAAGACTCGATTAACCAGGGTGAACTTGCTCGCGGTTTCTCGACGATAGATCTCCTTCGAGGTGAAGTGGTGCGAATATCGAAATCCAGGCGACATATTATTCGTGCCCCAGATAATGATGACATGAACGAGCGCCAACCGGATCAATGCACAGAGAATCGCACAGAGCGACAGATAATCGCCCAAGACAAATGCTTTCCCACGAATTTTCCGCATCACCAAGCGTATCGAGATCAACCCGACCGCGCACCAGGTGAGAACCCATAGAGACACCAGAGTCGCGTCGTCCATTGTGGCTCTACCACTCTGACATCATGTCGGCTGTGTCGAATGCGATCGAGTTTCACTGTCGAACCTGGTGCGATCCTATATGAACAGATCGCAACTCCCGGTCGGCCTCGGTTCTTCACCATTTTTCACACTCATCTCCGTGCAGTGACCCAGTTTCAAGGTTCTAATACGAAAAGTTAATTCTTTAGGGTTCGCTAGAAGTGTTAGTCTGGCACCGTTCTTCTTGTATTTGGACGCTAAATTCCTTATAGCAAAGTTTGCATCCACCTTAGGACAGTACTGAACGAATCATTTTACAGTAAGAGTACAGATCGTATAGGGGAATTATATGACTTACATTTTCAGTCCCACCAAAGGGAGATGTTCAGTTAACCTTACCTCTCATAGTATAACGGGATGGAACCAGTGTCTCACTGCCCCCGTGAGGAGCTCCACTATTTTACCGGTAAGCCGATGGTCTGATTGCTCTCTGCCGAAGATCCCCCGTTTTCTCTCCCTCCTTGCATTGATTTTTTCTTCATATCCCTGTCACCTGTATATTCCAGAAGCAGCCAAGATGCGGCTTGGTAACGCTCTAGCAGGGATCTTGATCTCGGTTGCCGGCGTCAATGCCGTGGCGCACACCCCCATCGTTTCCAACGCTGAGGTAGCTTATCACCGCAATTATCTGTATGTCGGGGGCCAGTATGTGCAGGACAGCTCAGGTGGCCATGTCTTCACAGATCAGATGTATGTGGAGAAACTCACTCCCACACAAGGTGTGAGCAAGGAGCACCCAATTGTGTTTATTCATGGTCAAGCGCAAACCGGCACGGTAAGCTGCAAATATCCCGGCCGCAGAAAGGCTGCCTGGCTAACTCTGATGCTATAGAACTGGCTGAACAAGCCCGACGGTGGAAGCGGCTGGGCCTCCTACTTCCTCTCTCAGGGCTACGAATGCTATCTGATCGATCAGACCTTCCGTGGCCGCAGCCCCTGGTTCCCAAGCAATGGCACCCTGAAAACCTACAGCGCAGAGATCCTGCAGCAGCGATTCACAGCCGCTAAGCATTACATGCTCTGGCCTCAAGCCGCGTTGCACACTCAGTGGAATGGCACCGGCATGATGGGTGATCCGGTTTTTGACACCTACTACGCCTCGACCGTGGAGTTCTTTGGATCTAGCACCGGTCAGCAGTACACCATGCAGGAGGCCGGTGCGGCGTTGCTGGACCTTATCGGTCGCCCGGCGGTTCTGCTCTCCCACTCGCAGGGAGGTCTAATGCCATGGATCATCACCGATGTGCGCCCAGAGCTTGTCCACGCCATTGTGTCCTTGGAACCTACCGGCCCTCCCTTCCAGGAGGCTGTCTTCAGCAACACCTCTTCTCGTCCGTATGGTCTCACGGACATTCCCCTTACTTTTGATCCCGCCGTGTCAGACCCCAAGAAGGACCTTGTGCGCCAAGTTATCCCTAGCAACTCCACTGCGCGGTCTCCTTGTGTCATTCAAGCTGATCACCCGGCGCCTCGCAAGCTGGTCAACCTGCAGAAGGTGCCAACTATGATCTTGACCACCGAGTCTTCGTACCATGCTCCCTATGATTGGTGCACCGTCAAGTTCTTGCGTCAGGCTGGCGTGTCCACGGAGCATCTGCAGTTGGGCGAGATTGGCATCCACGGTAATGGTCACATGGTGTTCATGGAGAAGAACAGTGACCAGGTCGCTGAGGTCATCCAGAAGTGGATTGAGCGTCAGTAACTAGTCTCTTGAGAAGGATCAATATGGCTGCCTAGCTCTGTTGAACGAACCTCCTGGCGGGACCAGTGGCAAAGAAAACACATAACTGTATAATCATGGATTATATTCCCATCGTTCATGAATACATTCAAACATGTACAGCATCGCACCATGCTCTGTACATGTATGCCTTACCAGATATGACTTCCAATTAAGTATCAGACCCCTACCATTTTCCGTGGCCATTCCAAAGCCTGCTCCCATACTGGGTCTTCACTTATAATCTCAGCCAACAACTCAATTACCAAATCCCTACCACAGCCTTTCGCCCACCAGAAATGACTCCCTAGATCATTCAACAACACACCCCAATGCATCAAAATCAACAATGGAAACGGCTGATGCATCCGCAGCCCATCGATAAAATCCTTCTTCACATAGACCAACCAAGCAAGAATAGCCACAGGATGAGACGAACAAGCAAACTTAGCAAAACAAGACTGTAACAGGTCAATCGCCTCACGGTTAGCACCACCTTGCTCGGCATTGGCGATACAGGTATTCAACCGGCTTAGTTTCTTTATAGCAACAGTCTTCTCGAAATCCAAGTCTCCGGTTTCCATCAGCCAGAAGTCGTATTTAGAAAACATACTGGCTTTAAGCCATGGTCGACTGATGCGGGAGACCTTAGTTGAGCCTTGTAGGAGCTCGAACACGGTGATCATGTTCTCGATCATGCTGAAGCATTCGCCTCTGTGTTGAGCGTTGAGGCGCGGTAAGGCGATACCAATGACGGTTATTATGGCGGACTGGGCGAAGACAGCGTCGCAGTTCAACGGGGTGAGCGCGTCGAGCGCTTGTCGGAATGGGGCGAATGACATATTGTGGTATTGAAGCGCAGTATCGAGATATGACAGCACGATAGTACGCTCTGTGGCTGTAGCTGCGATATGCAAAGCTGCGAGTGCGAGGATGCCATGGAGTAAGAAAGTATGCTTTGATGCTTGTTGGGGGATGAGGACCTGCCAGTCACCCATGTCGGACTGGTCTCCACATAGACATTGGAAGGTCTCGGTCGAGAACTTATGCATGAGTTCGAGATCACGAAGGACAAATCTTGGCTCGACAGATCTTACGGAGCTGATAGGCTGCTTGTCATGGTGCTTTGACTGCGATTGTCTCCGGTGGTGGTAGTCTTGGGAACCATCGGTCACTGCATGAGCTGTGCGACTCGGGGCTGAGACTATAGGGATCTTCAAATAGGTACAAATAAGCTCCCGAGAGGTGCAATTAGAGCATATCGGATGTTTCTCATCACACTAGTTCGGACAGGTTAGGGTATGTGTACAGGCCTTATGGGACCCACCGGTTATCTTAGAACTTGGGTTCGATATTAAGAGACTCCAGTGCATACCCGGGGCATAAGGAATTCGTACCTTTACTCTTCTCTCCTTGCATTGATCGCAACCATTTCGCGATTTCTTGTGCGACCGTCGAGGTGGCATGTTGAGGACCATATAAAGACAACCCCGGCGCGTGAAGTATTACAATGGGAAGGCCCAGGAAGGATAGACCACGCTCGATGGGCTGAGCGTCTCTCCCACAATCACGCACATTAAACTAGGAGTGCGAGCAGTACTGCCTACCTCCATCAATTTTGGTCTTGTCGTCGTGGCTGAGATACTGACGTGAGTGTGGTCGGTAGCTAGCCTGGACAAGATGTTGGGGCGACACGACAACGAACACGAGAACGAGAACGAGAACGGCCTGCTTTTGTCAGAAAACAACGTAACGCCATGATTATCCCATACTTATCACTATCCCCTTCTCAATTTTTCTTATATCGTTGTTCGAGGTACGGCTCGAATCAGAGATACTTGACACAATCAGCGCAAGAGCCAGACAGTATCCTCTCCATACCGCTCTTCGCAGCTTTGAGCCAACATCTGGCTTATACTACATCTCGGCTGGTTTCGGAGAACGACAAGCAAGTGTGAAAATCTGTGTCTGCTTACTGGTGTAAGTTGTTGCTGTGAGTTTTCAGTATCTTAGATGTGAGTACAAACCAAACCAAAACTGCATGGGCAACCCAGGCCTAAAAAACTAGCAGAAGTTTGTCTTTCAATGACGCTACGACAACTAGCAGACCGAAGTGGTTCATAAAAGGTAATGGCCATAGTGAAAGAGACTGCGCAGCCGTCAATAATGAGCTCAAGCCAGCCTCAATCTACAACAGATGCTCCTAGCCGCAGTCTCCTTCAGACATCTATTGTTATGTCATGTCTTTGCGCCGGAACATTCGTGGCTGCGTTAGATGCCACTATCGTCACTACTTCTCTGCCTTCTATTGCTGGCCATTTCCACTCAGCTTCAGGGTACACTTGGATCGGCAGTGCCTACATACTGGCCAACACAGCTTCCGTTCCCTCGTGGGGTAAACTGTCCGATATATGGGGAAGAAAGCCGCTTCTGCTTTGTGGCAATGCGATCTTTTTTGCTGGAAGTTTGATCTGCTCCGTAGCCAACACGATGGCATTGTTCTTGTTTGGCCGTGTTCTGCAAGGTCTGGGCGCAGCAGCGCTGATGACATTGGTCAATATCTGTGTCTGTGACTTATTCTCTCTGAGGGATCGAGGCCTATATTTTGGTCTTCTGTCCGTAGACTGGGCTTTAGCTAGCGGAATTGGTCCCATCTTAGGCGGCGTGCTATCGGAGAAAGCAACGTGAGTATTACTTGGAGATGCCAGACAGCTTCTTGACATACTAATCAATGGAGACATAACAGCTGGCGGTGGTGCTTCTGGATCAACTGTATGGCATTTTCTGCTTACCCATCAACAACTCATTGTACCCGACAGATCGCTAACTGATTCATACCATTACTTTAGTGCCAATCACTGGTCTTGCATTTCTATTATTATGGTTAGCCCTCAAACTCGACAACCCACATACACCAATCTGGGACGGTCTCAAGGCCGTCGACTGGATCGGCTCATTATTCGTCATCGGCAGCAGCATCATGCTACTCCTCGCTCTAGACTTCGGGGGCGTCACACACCCCTGGGACTCAGCAACAGTCATCTGCCTAATCATCTTCAGCATTGTAGTCCTGAGCCTATTCGTCCTAAACGAGTGGAAACTCGCCAAATACCCAGTAATACCACTAATCCTCTTCCAACACCGATCCGGGATCGCCGCCTTTGTTGTCTGTTTCTGTCACGGATTTATATTCATGGGCGAGGCATACTACCTACCGCTATACTTCCAAGCCGTCCTTGACGCCAGCCCAATCATGTCCGGTGTCTATCTGTTAGCCTTCGTTATCGCCAGCACATTCTCAGGAGCCTTCACGGGACTCTTCATCCAGAGAACAGGCCAATATATACCCCCAATGTGGCTCGGTCTTGGCCTCTTAGCCCTCGGAGTGGGACTACTCATCAACCTAGAAGCAACAGCCAACTGGAGCAAGATCATTGGGTTCCAGATCATCTCGGGTACAGGGGTAGGCATGAACTTCGAAGGGCCACTGCTCGCACTACAGGCGATTGTCGGCGCCAAGAACACCGCAACAGCCACCGCTACAATCGGGTTCGTGCGAACTATGTCAACAGCGATCTCGGTGGTTATCGGAGGAGTCGTGTTCCAGAACCAGATGGTGAGGGAAGGTCCTAAGCTTGTGCAATCTTTGGGGGCTGAGCTCGCTGGACAGTTTGGAGGCGCAAATGTCACGGCCAATATACCGTTGATTGGGACGCTTCCGTCGGATCAGAGGGAGGTGGTCCGGCAGGCGGTGTTTGGTTCGTTGCGAGCTACGTGGATTCTGGTTTGTTTCTCTTTTGTAGATGGGTAATGCTTGCTGACTGCGTTGTTAGTATGTTGCTTTTGCGGGTGTGAGTCTTGTTGCTGGGTTCTTTGTTGGTGCTCATCATCTCTCTGAGGAGCATGAGGTGACTGTTTTGGGGCTGCATGGTGGTGGCTCGTCGGAGGATACGTCTAACAATACTCCAGCTATTCGGGCTATTGAGATGCAGTGATTCTGACTGCTGCTTAGTATGAGCGATTCAAACCGAGTCCATCCAAGGAGAACGATACAACCGCCGCATAGACTTATCAAGCATAGAACCCAAGGCATATAGATACAAGATACAGGACAGTATACACAATATAAAGGCATTGCGACTCTACAGCCAAAAAAGTAAATCAACCTCCACACCCCCTCTTACAACTCAATAAACAACCCCCTAGAAAAACAAGCACATCCCCAAACCCCAAACCCATACCCCAAACGACCCCATATCCCGCAAACCAAAAAGCACCCTACCCCAAACCCCCTTTCTACCTTACCAACCCCACCCAAACACAACCTCAATCCCAATCCGTATACTAGCACTACCACAAACCCCAAAGCAAATAAATAAACACCTACACACAGCTTAAACACCCACCCAATCCAACACACCTTAACGAGGTAAAACAATGAAAACACAAGCCATACAAGATTTGCCACTGGGTAAGACCAGGCTCCTTTGGCCTAGTGGTTATGGCGTGGCTCTTATGTGGCAACTCCGTTTCTGGATTCCGCATGCCGACTAGCTGAAGTCGAGGGTTCGACTCCCTCAAGGAGCATGTGTTTTTTTTTGCCCCCTTTTTTCTTGTTGGCCCGTACATACATTCGCCCACAGGGAGATAGATGGCCATTTTATGTTAGTGGTGATTCATAGATTATAGGTTTGCCTGGTATTTGGCTCATGAATGTTGTCTTAGTACGAAGTCCTAGGTGGTTCATATACTTGTATACTTGTCTGGAATACATCGTGCCAGTTTGTATCAATGTATTTACATGCCATATAGTAGTATCCAGAATACTCCGTATGTCAGACCTATTTGCGAGACTTGTTACAGTTCAGTATCAACGGTGGCTGGCATTTTCTTTTAACGGGTATGCATTCTTAATATGAATCAATGTGCTCCCGAGTATGGAATAAAGCACAATTGGTATTCTGACTCGTGTAAGTCTGCTCGAAGGAACAAGACCAAATATGTAGATCATCGTGCTTTCTCGGGTTTCTTTCTGTTTTTATTGTATTTGAATTTTGTCCCTGCTATCTGAATGTAAATACATCATGTTTATAGGGATAAGGAAAATCTTGGTTTCAGAGCGAATCTGTATTAGACAATAATATGGTATAGTAGTAGCGACCGTGGATGACAACATCGTGTCTATTCTGAATTCCAAACCAAACAAGAACCCCCAATATTCCAGTCCATATATGCTCCACTCAATTGCAACGGGTATCAGTTCCTTCACGTTCAATTTCACCCGATATGTAAAAGCCTGAGCCAACTAGCTACTGGTCGTAGCATCACCCCTAGAAAGCAAAGGAGAAAAGAAATGCTCTAAAAAAAAGGAACATAGAAAAAAAAAGTCAACGATTGCCCGCTGCGTATGTTTTCCGGACCCCAAACAAGCGATGCCACGGAAACGCAGAAAAGAAGTCAAAACATGTCACAACCCAGTTGGTATCTGAAGATTCATGTCAAAAGGAAAAGAAAAAGAAAAAAAAAGGAAAACCAAAAACCCTAGTCTAAGCGAGAGAAAGAAGTAGAATCACCATCCGGAAAACAACCAGTACCTCTATGGTCATAACGTGGGGAATAAAGAGACATCATTGCGAATTCCCGTTGCCCTTGTGCCGTGTCCTGCCGATCCATGATAAAATGAAAAGCGAAAAATAAAAGGGGTATCAATTCCCCGCGTGTTGCGGAGACATAAAAGAAGAGAAGTCACGAAAATTGAAGTTTGTTGTACAAGGGGTATACCCATTCCGAAAGAAAAGGAGGTTGCGCAGCGCAGTCCGTTGAGTATCTCGATCCGAAACTCTCTGTTGCTCTGCGCGAGGACAAGGCTCAAGGGAAGGGCAGTAGAAAAGAAGGTCGAGTGAGGACAAGATTCGCTTATTCTTCATCCTCACCCGAGGCGCCTTCCTTCTCGCCCTTGTGAACCTTCTTGTGTCGACGAAGGTTGGAAACAACGGAAAAGTGTCGACCGCAACCCTCTACGTCACAGGCGAAAGCTGTATCCCAAATAATTAGTATGGATTGCGTACCATGCCGGGTTTTCCAAGAACTTACGTTTTTCGCCAGTGTGACTGTACATGTGGGTCTGTAGAGATGACGGGCGGGTGAAGCGCTTGTCGCACACCTTGCACTTGTGCTTCTTCTGAGTGTTGGAGGGCATTTTCGAACTGAACTGGCTCATCATGGATTGGGGGCCCGGGGGAGCACTACCAGTCAGGAGGTTCGATGGGCGAGGAAGAGTCCGCGACAAGTGTCCATTCTCGTAGGACTCAGAAGTCGTGGAGCTATAGTCGGTCACAGAAGACTCGACGGATGCGACTGAAGCGCTGTAGTAGGGGTAGCCGCCACCGGAAGAGATCGAAGAACCAGACGAGTGTGTAGAAGGGAATCCATAAGAATCTGCAGAGCCCCGGGTGTTGCGAGGGCCGTAAATGTTACGGGGAGTCAAGTCCTGGCTGAGCGCGACCATTCCGCGACTGGCGTCAAGGGCGTCACCGAAGGTAGGAGCTGATGAGGGCTGCGATTGGCTGGCACGGGGATCACTGTAAATGAAAAAAAGTGTAAGCGCTCGGTTCCAAATCCCAAGATGCGCAAAAAGTTTGTAGCTGGGGGGCTCTTACGCATGAGATATCCGGCGACTATCCTGGTGGTGCAAAGATGGGGCGTAGCTGAGTGGCGCATAGCTGGCTGGCGCGAAGCTGCTCATAGAGGAAGCAGTCGTGTATGTAGGGGCCTGCTCGAAAGACGTGCGAGGCAAATCGTGGTGCAGACCCATAACTTCCGGTGCTGGGTAGCTAGTCGCAGGCGTAGTCGAGTAGGTGCTGCTGGTGACCATCGAGGGTGCGGAGACGGGGATGCTCGAGTAGGG